TTGAATAATTAAAAAATTTTCTAGATATTTTTTCTGTTTCTAATTTGAATTTTTATAATTTGCAGTCCTCGAGCATCCACAGTAGGCCGACCCAATGGAGGTTTGAGGACCCAACAACAAGCCTTACCGTATTCTGGAAATACTGTCCCAGCACCTCAGCCAAATAAGAATTCTGTATTGGATAAATTTAAACTTTTCAATAATAAAGATAAAAATCAAGAACGAGGAAAGACTTCATCGGGGGTTTCAAAACGCACTTCCAGTTCTTCCGGATTTTCTTCAGCTCGATCTGAACATTCAGACAGTTCAACTTCCTTGTGCGATCAAAGTAAGACCCAAACTCAAGAATCGCCAAAAAGTCGCGCGTTGAAATCAAAACTGCAATCGACTAAACCAACAAAGCAGGCCAGTCCAAAAACAGGCAGAAAGGAGCAAAGCAAGGCCCAGAGTAAGATTGCGCGCACGAGCAAAGGTCCGCCAAGCTCCTCGGAGAAACTAACAACACTCTATAATAATCCGGTTGTAGAGCAAGATGTTAAAATTGCTAGTAAAGCTATCAGCACCAAATTATCAAGTGACAGGAAAACATCGACTCTTCAGGAACTGGTAAAGCAACCGATAGTGCAACCTCCTAAACCAAATCCTTCCGTCCTAACGCCACCTAGACAAATTAATCTTCAAGATACCAAAAACGTGAACTTGAGGAACGAACTCACGACAACGAAACTTTCACCCCGACCCAAAATGGAGCTTCCAGGCAAGATATCGGATCCAAAAATTTATTTACAAAGTGTGAAACCACCGCCGAATGGTCTGAACAAAGATTTTATGATGCAGAAAGCTATTCTGGCAAATACCAATGGTATTATTAAGCCATCCGAAACGGGGGAAACTCTTGTTCATGAGAACGATACTTTTAATCGCACTCTAAGCATGAATCAGGCAAATCTATCAGATGGCAAAGATCTTACGGCAAAACAAAAAGAACCAGAAGTGTTAGAAGTTAATCATGAACAGCAATCAGAAATGGAAAGTTTTAATTCATCGAAGACTCGAGTATCAAGTCAGGAGAAGGTTATTTGTAAGGAAGAAATAGAATCTATCGAAACTTCCAATAACGATAAACAAGATTCTATGACAATTAATTGTGTTAACTCAGTAGCTGATGAAAAATTAACTAATACTGAAGATGGACTAATGAGTATATCCACGCAAAACAATCTGAACTTTGGGTCTAGTAAACCGTTAGCAAGTTCGAATAGTCCTCTTCACGGTCCGAACCCGGCCGGGCTTAGTCCGGGTTCTAGCATCCCAAAACCTACTGCTCTTGTGAAAGGTACATCGAAACCATCGAAAGACAATAGCACGCTCAGCGGAATGCCAACACCGACAAAACCGAAGAGCGGCGATACTCTTCATCGCAAACTCGATCCTAATACAGTAGCGATGGTGTCACCGATGCCGAGTATTTCGGATCTTATGTCCGACAGCTCGCATAGCAATTCTAACAGCACCGGGCAGAGTAATTCGAGCGATAGTAGTGTGATTTATAGGCCAAGCAGTGAGAGTGGTAGCGAAATTAAAACAATTCCTAACCGGAAGATCGACACTACGTTTGAACAAATGGAAAAGGTCAGTTTTGGAATTTTTCTTAGATGATGGATATCGAATAAAACCGGAAGATATAATCATAATAATATCTATACAAATATTTATAAAATTGTTCGTTTAATATATATTTAATATATATTTAATCATAAATAAACGTCAAAGAAAAATTTTAAAAAATTCTTTGAAAGAAACTTGATAGATTCTTGATTTATAATTATTATTTTCTTAAATTTTAGATTACTTTTTAAACTCTAGATTTTTAAAATTATTTTCTTAGTCTAGATAATTCTAAAATTTTTTAAATGTTTTTTTTTAAATGTTCTTTTCCGCTATATTAATTATCTTCTTCAATATAAAAATGACTAAGCCAAATTTAAGATATAAATCTAAGATATGTCATAGACTATTCAAAATTGAAGTAAAATTAAATTTAAAGTTTGATAAATACGAAAATTAAAATAAAAAATTAAAAAATATAAAATTATTTAAGTATGTCTTTTATTTTTCTTTTTGAAGGTGCTGTCGGAAAATTCGACATGCGGTGGTACTCTAGCAGACGATGAAGCCGAGATGACTGTAAAACCTATGCAACCTCTTCTGCGTGGATACACGCCTGGGGCTCGAGGCTTACAAACTCTACCGAGCCGTACTACAACACGACAGTACACCGTCCTGCATTCATCGTCGCATCATCATGTTGGTGGTCACCACGATTACACCGACGTAGACGTCGCTTCTGGTTATCTGAGCGACGGTGAAGTGCTGCGCGGAGGTGGCATGAGTGTTGGCAGTAGAACCCTTTCGGACCTATGCGACGGATACATGTCTGAGGGTGGCGCATCCCTATACGCTCGCAGAATTAATCCTTCTTATGGAAGGATTGATCACGAACATGACAGGTAAGACCTTCTAATTTTTCTTTATTTTTTTGGACATAATTGGAAAACACCAATAATTAATTAAAATTTTATTCTTGATAAATCGTTTCATGAATTTATAATATTTTAATATGTAGGGGAAATCGGATCTAAGTGGGCACCCTTTTCTTCAATTGCAATTTTCAATAACAAAATAAACGATTTTAGTCAAATAATTATTAGCGTTTTGTAGAGTAATTATAAGACTATAAGATGGCAATAAAAAGTTTTAGTGTTTGCACCTTTATTTATTCATATACACAAAAAAATAATGTGATTCAAAAAATGAAATCTCAAAAATTACTTTTGACTATCGAAAACACGTTTGACTGCCTAAATATAATAACGCGGCGCCTAAACTAACTAAACTTTGTTGGTAAAGAAAACACAGGAAATGTCATCTACAATATAAATTGCGAATTCATAAGATATATAAAATTTTGCCACTCAAAATTTAAATGCCAGCTTAGCCCCGGTCTCCCCTAATGATACAAAAACTATGCGTTTCGCGGGTTATCTCCGTGTCCAAATCTATTTTAAGAATGGATAGAAATGGATAGAAATGAAAGAGATAACTCGTGGAAGTCTCAAGAGTATTGTGTATAGAATGATATTATAATCAAAACATTATTTTTCTATCCAGGTAATATCAATTTATTATCATAACAATTATTATTATCATTATATATGTATATATATATATATATATATATATATGTATATGCACGATAATAATAATAATTGTTATAATAATAAATTAATACTAGTAATAACAAGAGAATAGAACATAATCTGCTATAATGTAACACGTTTAAAAGTAATGTTGCTTTTAAATTTCTATCAATATTGTATCAAATTACTGTCGAGATTTCAGAAAATCGATAACAAATCAAATTGTTGCGAGAAAAAAAATTTAAGAAGCTTTGTCAGGGTTGAACTTTGCGTACCATGCAATTCATGACACGTGCGAGGCGTGTGTCGCGAAAGTTTGCCGGATTGCTGATCGTATGGATTATTTTTTATCGAATGAAATATGGATGAAGAAAATGCGAAAATATACGACGTTTGCCCGCGCAAGAGAGTGACGATAAATTAACGCCGCGTAGTCGACGCCGAGCGCGCGTCGAGTATTGATCAAGAAAGCTCGGGTCTAAGCCTCTCGCGAGCTTTTCGGTGAAAAGCCCGTCACCCTCGCGAAGTCTTACATCTGCCAGTCTTTGATACATCGTACATAAATCTTCGTTAAAATTATTATTCAAATAAATAAAAAGCATTTACGATTATTATCTCGCGCCATATAAATAGAATTTTTTCATAATAGAATTAATATCAAAAATGTTCATACATATAGTACTAAATATTTTTATAAAATTAATTGTTGTCACATTATGTGAAAAATTATTTAATCTTTCTTTAAAATTTTATTTTAACTTATAATTCTTGTTCGATTAAAGATTATAACTTTCTGCGTTCTAAGTGCATTTATAGTATAGAGGCACTTTCTATTTTAGACAAAGTTTAAACGTTGTCCGGTACACAAAGTGGATTCGTGTCGTGACTCGTTTATTACGCTCCGCCACGCCCGTGCTGCTCTCTCCGTGCAACGAAATACTCAAGTTTGACCGAGAGAGAGAGAGAGAGAGAGAGAGAGAGAGAGCTTTATTATTAGCAAAGCTCTGGACTGTGTACATTCAAATTAAGATTTCAAGTAGTAAGCCGAATTCATTAGAGAAATGCGGAAACGAAGCAAAGGTATTCTTCTACAACACAGAATATATTTTCTTTGTAATGATCATATGCACGTATTTTTTTTTATTTTTTTGCCATGCAAATTTCTTATACATCTATTGCAGCACTAATATTTCGATCGAATCTAATACTGAATTTATATCCACCACTAAATGTCCTTTTTCCTTAAGATAATTATATTCTTTGATCTAATTAAAATTTATATTTGATTTGATAATGAACACTTTTGGTAATCTATTCGCGCTGTTCGCACGCCCATCAAATGACTCAAGCATTGTGAGAAAGATATGACACTGCCATGAGATCTAACTAATTAGACAAAATTCACGAGGTTAATTCCGGAGACACTTTTAATTACTCAGCGCTTCATGGACTGCTTTTACCACGATCGAATTAAAATATGGTCAATCATTCGATTAATCCGAGAAAACAATTTTCTCCATATAAATATCCACTGTTTTATCAAAATTCTATCGCTGAAATTAAAGTTCGTGAAGTAAAGAACTTTGAAATCAGCATAGAATGAAATCTTAAAATCATTAATGATAAAAAGATATACAATGAAAAATACAAATTTTGAAAAATATTTCCAGAAAAATCAAACATTCTTTTATACAGTGCCTTTCAAATTTTTGGTTAAAAAATTTGTTTATCCTTTTTGATATATTAATACTTGAAGAACATAAAAAATTGATTTCGTTCCGGAGGACAGGTATGTTTATTTCTTTAACATATATGTACTTATAAAACAAAAATAAATACGTCTTATTTTGATTAACATATTCAAAGCTCGCAGCCCATTATCAATTGCGTGCGAATAGGAACATTCAAATTTTTTTTATTTATTTGATTCTTAAATATTTTTTTCTTGCATATTTAATAATTAAGAAAGAATTTTACTCAGGTAGTATCATGCACTATACAAGATGTTGTTTGCCATCATACGTTGTAGAAGCGCGCCTGAAGGTGGATCCCTTCGCCTAACTTGCTTCGGCATAATCGAGCCCGCGGCGCGTATCATCCGCTTGAAACTCGACGCGCTTTTCAGAAATTCAATATACTCAGTCCTGAAATCCTTCCACGACCCTCATCACCATCATCGAGGAAAGCTCCGTACAATCTGCAACAAAGACGTTTGGCATATTCCGACGATTATCGTACGATCTTGCGAAAGCTTTCTCTTGCTATCGAAAAAACCTATCTAAATATATTTAAAGATAAAAGGATCGAATATAGCTGTATTTTATACACATATATTCAGACAATGATTTTAAAAAAGAACAGTACTTTCGTCAGAATATTTCGTTTGTGATAAATCGTATAGCATGTTATACGAAACAAAATATATTGAGAATTATTGACAATGATTCCTGCTATATTATTTATTAATATCAGAATTATTTATTAATATTTATTTTAATAGATAATATACATGCATCATATCATTCGACATTAAAAATATCAATTCACGATAGCGCCTTTGTCTTTTTCATTTTTTAAATTATTTTACATAATTTTTTAAAATTAGCTACTGTATAAAATAATACAATAATTATAATAATCTTTATTATATAAATGAGTCTTTTTCATAATGAATTTATAATGATCATTAATTTTAATATTTTTCTATTGTAATCATATCTATTTTTTTTATCAAAATTTTGTTTATTTCCATCTTTTTTATACATATAATAAAAATAATTATTCTTCTTCAATTTTAGCTTACTTATAACGTATTTTCCTTTTATTTTGACACACAGTGGTGTATTATATTTGCTTTGATATCACAGTTATCATTGATAACTTTCGGTTATGTCCTTTGAAGCAGAAAGCTCGCATTTAGCGTATGTTCCCGCTATATTCTTGGATGCGCAGCACGGGCGAGACATGGCAAACCAGGCTGTTACATATATAGCGTATGCAAAAAGATAAGCGCTTTTGTCCGTCCTGACAGCAGCCTCTCAGCATTGTCCTGCGACTCCTTTCCGCACTGCAGAAGCTGATTGTGATGTGACGCATGCCTTTTCCTTGCCCTCGTGCATTCTGGTGATGAGATGATGATGCCGCATATTGATTGTTGAAATAGTCATGTAAGTTTTTAATTTTGTGTCCTTTAAAATAAAATCAGTTGCACATTTATGTGTTGGAAAGTGAATAATAAATCTAGAGAAATATGATTTATTATGGTTCACATAATGTGAGAGAGAGAGAGAGAGAGAGAGAGAGAGAGAGAGAGAGAGAGAGAGTGTGTGTGTCCGTTTTTTTTAAACGTTCCATTTATTTGTCCTATACAAATATTTTGAAAAATATGAAAGATATGAAAAGCCATTTCAGATAAAAATTATATATGGTTTGTAAAAAGGGATGAATAATAGTAAAATTAATTTTTAAATAATTAGTTTTACATATTAAATCGTATCATTGTCATTTTAAAAAAATGGAATTCTATATAATTTTTTAATATATTATAATTTTTTTAATTATTTTGCATATTAAATTATTAAAATAGAATTTTTTTTAAATCAATAATTTTCATGTTTTAATATTTCATTCTGATATATTTTAATATAAAATATAAAATGTCTCTTAAATTATTAATTTTTTGATAATTCTATTTTAACACTTTTAATGCAGAATAATTAGAGATATTATTATATATTACGTTAAAAAATTATATATTTTATTTTTTTAAATGGTAATAACCTTAGTATAACTTTAAAAAAATTTTTTTTTTTAATTAATATTATTATTTGTTCCCTTTTATTTTATACAACTTTTATTTGAAACATTTTTTCATATCTTTCAGATCTTTTGAAATATTTACTGGGAACATTTAAATGGAGACTTAAACGGGACATCCTGTATCTTATGTGAACTAAAAAATCATATTCTTTATACTTACTACTCACCTTTCAATACATAAATGTGCAATTGATTTTATTTTAAAGGGTCCAATCAAAATTTAAAAACACTCATGCATATGACTATTTCAGCACAATAATAAATTTCAATTTTTAGAATTTTCCCCATATCCATACCTGGTGGTTAAATAATTGTTATTTTTTATTTTTTAGAGGATCGCATGAATAGTTTTCATAATGATTAATTTAGATTCTGCATTTCTAGGCTATAAATAGCCTTTTTTCGCACCTTCCTTTATATGCCAGAATTATTATATTTATGATCTTTTTTCTTTCTTCGAATATTTAGGTATATTTTATCACCATAAAAATGTGAACATTATTAGAGACTCTTTAGACACTTCTCAGAACGCAAGGTCCATTCATCTAGTAGACGAAGTAGCGGAGACGAAACGAACAATATTTATTCGCAGTAGTTGCGACGCTTGCGTGGACGCCGTGACGTCATGGCGATCGATTCGACGTCGCTGCGCGGTGGCGCGATCTGACGGTGTCGGTGTGTTATTTCCAGGGCGGTTCGAGGGGTTGTCTCGCGGCGGGGTTGCTTTCCCAACGACGGAGGCAAGAGAGTACGTGCTGAACACTGTCAAATATACGCAAAGTTACCGGTGATAATTTTCATTTCGGCTTCATTTGCGATGAAACCGTCGTTCGGGGTAGTTTCTTTTGATTTCCTCAGTGTGACAGTGTCCTAAATAGCAAGGGTGGAAGACCAAGAAAGATATTCGGAATTCGTTGGAGGAAACGCGGCGGCTCAAGCTGAACGGTAATCTCGTGTTCCTGTTTGTTCAAAGCTTTCTACCGGTTTGAAACGTTGACTACGGGGATGAAGACGGGGTGTGGAAGATGGAAAAATTGGAAGGGCTTTTAAATGGCATAAATATATTGCGTTTTCTTAAACAAAAAGTAGTTTAGCGTTTATTTGTGATGATAAAGGAAGTTCAATCAAAATTTTTTATTAATTGAAATTCAATAAAAAAATATTAAAAGACACTTTCTTGTCTTTGTATTCCTTGTTATAAATTCTAGGTGTAATTTATGACAAAAAATAGTACAAATTTGACACACTACATACGTCGTTTCTGTAATAAGTAGAACTTGAGACTTGAAACTTAAAACTTAAAACTTGAGAAATCTACTTTTTTAGAAAATGGAAACTATTTAATATTTATTAATTATTATTATTTTCAATTCATTATTTTCGAATCTTTATAATAGTAATTTAATAACACAATGATATAACACATTTATCTAAGTTTTTTTTTTATTATATGCTATTTTGCTTTTGTGATAGTTATTTTCTAAAAGATTCTTCTCTAAATCCTAGTTACAAACTTTGCGATGACTAAAATCGCGTGAGTTTCTCACAAGATAACTTTTCTATATATACAGAGGAAGATATTTTTTTTTCTTTGCCAAATTCTGTTACAGTATATAAAATAGTATCTCGAAGTTAGATATGACGTTAGGACTCGATGAAATTCTCGTCGCGATGTTAAAAAATGTTTTGTTATAAAGGTAAATTTTTTAATTAATATGAATTTAAAATTAATTCGTTAAAAGTTGAAGCATTAAAAATTAAAAAATAAATTATAGAGAATTTATTTTCTGAAAAATTATCCTTTTCTTTATCAATTTATGGTTGCTTTCCCCTTCTCCTCAAAGACAAATTAAATTAAACTTCAGCATAGTACTATGATTACAATGACGTCCTAGGAAAGTCAGAACTTTGTTTCTTGCATTCATAAATGATTTTCGCGAGGCTTTCCTTTCTCGGATTTATCCTCCGTCGCTGGCAACTTTTTAATTATTGATGCTAATTGTTCTTGTAATCAGGAAGTTTCGAGTAATGAATTCAAGAAATGACATTTGAAGTTTCAGTTCATAGTCTAAGTTTCCTATAAGAGCAAAGTTACGCACGCATACTTGAAAGTTCCGTCACTAGTTAGGAAGCTTTCTGCAAATATTTAATCTGTACCAAGTGATCAGCGAGCTCATTGATCACGATACAATTCAAAAGCTAATGTAACAAAAAAAATTCTGATCACTATTGATGAAAGGATGGTAAGGTCCAGTTCTCATTTTCTAGTTAATTAACTAGAAAACTAGGTTTAAACTGAATCTCATTTAACTTGTTAATATAAAAATTATGTTTTTTTTTAGCGATGATTAATACCAGATGAATGGTTTTGTAGTGTGATAGCTTTAAAAGTCTCTCAAAACTACTGATTTAACTATAGCAAGAAGAATACAATTTTTACATTATCAATAGGTTAAGTTTAACCACAAATTAATCACAAAATTAAAAATCTTAATGCCCATTTCTACCAATATAGATTCACTTTAATCTCAATTCAACTTACTTTTTCTAATTTTTCGAAAAGATGAAGACTTAATTAAATCGAAATGAAAATTAAACTACATTAGTGAAAATGAGTATACGTTTCTTACAGTTTACTATATCGATTTAGCATATTAAAACTTGAAAGTAACAGATAAAAATAATAATCTTAAACACATATAAAAAATAAGAGCATAAAAAACCACAGCACAAATCTTAAAATTAAATTTTGCTTAAAATAAAACAAAAAATTATTATTTAAAAAAATTAATACATTCTTGTATAACGTAGCTTAATTGAACTTGTTTTAGAAATATAATAATATGAAAATAATGAAAAGATTTAGAATTTAATTGCTCAGATTTGAATGAGTGGAATTTTATTTAATAAATTGCACGAAACGTCCAATATTATTAAGGAAACAGAAGAACGAAAATTCTTCTTTTTTAGTAAATACTAATTGAGCAGATTTCAATAATTACGAGCTATATACCTATGCTGACTTATGATCACACTCAAGTTCTTATTTCTATATATTTTCGTCGAAATTTAATTTAACTTTTTTTTTCTCTCAAAATGTCTCTCATGAATCAGTTCGGCCCTCGACTTAGTGTCGAAGTTAAGCACATTTTTTTACGAGGCGCATTAACCCCCGACTGGTCGCTGTAAGAACCATTAAAATAATCTCCATCCTAAAATGGCATGTGCAATATAAATTTATAGAACTTGCTATAAAATAACACAAGAGTTCCATCGTGAACATGTTTATTATTTCTTTTTTCCTCCATACATCGGTAATTTTAATTCTTTCTTGAGAAAGACAGATTTTCTACTTGATATTTAAATTCAGTTTATTTATAAATTGGTGGTGAGAGAGAGAGAGAGAGAGAGAGAGAGAGAGAGAGAGAATAATACGGAATAGATGAAGAAAGAAATTAGTACGTAAATACCGTTGAATTATTTGCATTATGCATATACACGCATATTTATATGAATAAAATACTCATAATATTTCACATAATAAAACACAGCATCTCTATTACGTAAAAGCTCGCGATATAAACAATTGCGGGAAAAATATCCGTAGACAATTCTCGCGTGTTGCATAAAAGCAATAGAACCCTTCTCTTGGGTGTAGAATTAATAATTATTATCGTGATTTACGTACAGAGGACACGTATCGCGCCAATATGCGGACGCCACATTAAAAAAAAAAACATTTACGCGTCTCGTGCATCATAAATCCTGAATAAAACTATCATATTCTCTCGTGCCATCGCATCGTCGCATGTTTTTTTTTAAATCAGCAAAAGTTGTTGCTTCAATCAAGCTATTTAATTTTTAGTTTCTATTAAAAAAGATAATATAACATATACATCTCAGAAAATGCAAGTTTTTTATTGATTGTTCTTTTTTTACATCATAATTTAAATATCGAAATAGTAGTGATGGAAAAATAGAACAAATATATTTTACACGCAGATGTTTATGCAGATTAACCAATGCTTTCTGCTTGGAAAAAATAACGTCGGCGTAATAAAAAAAGTCTGTGCAAAAATAGAGTAATGAGAGATTCATAGCGTAATAAAAAAAGATCATCTAAAACGATCGTTGAATATATTTTTGTAATGATCGTTGGTTGTCTCAAGTGAGAATCTCAAGAAACAAAAATACAAATACAATTTTAGCACATTGTACGATTAAACTATTATTTTGTATTCCGAATATAATAATAATGATACAATAGCAGAAATCAACGCAAAGTTCATATACTGCATAAAAGAGAATTATTTTAAATAATTACAAAAAAGCAAACATTTCTTTTAATATTAAAACTATTTAAATACCTTATATAATTATATTTCTTCTATAATGATAATGTACATTGAATGCACATTGCACAAATAAACGTATTAAAGTTTTATTGCATTGTATGATTAAATAGTCATTATTTTTCGGATAATAATAGCGACATTTCATTTGCTTGCATTAATAGGTACGTAGGTGGCTCACGGCGAGAGCTGTCGGGGGTGAAGGAACTGGTGACCTCGAGGCGGGTGCAGAAGAATCGGCCGTCGGGGATCGCGAGGTCGGATGGCGGCTGCATCGGGGGCGTCAGTCCGGGAAGCGGTGGCAGCGGC